TCCCAGGCGCGGTGGATCACCGCGCGCTCGTCAATGAGGGACGTGCGGATCTTGAGGACGAACCAGTCGGTCGTGCGCGCACGCACGATGCGCACGCGGCGGTCAGTGGGCCTCGGGGGACGGTCCTGCCAAAAAAGGTTGGCGTGTTGCAGACAATAATCCTGTGCGTGAAGTGTTGCTGGTTTGTGACAAGCGCTGCACGGGAGAGTTTCGTGCCGCTTGGCATCTTAGGGCCGCCCAGGGTGTCAGCACAGCAGCAGGATGCATGAAAGAACCCTCTGCCAATCTGCCAGGTGCCTGCGTCCGGACAACGAATGCCATTCGCTGCTGCCCAGCTCAGACCAGACAGCACGCGCCTATCAACGCAGGTCAAAATTACCACCCCACTCACCTGCGCGCACTCTGGCAGGTATAGGGCGACGCAGAAGCGGCCCTCGACGGTCTCTGACCGCCTGTCTGCCGGGAACAGGATGGTCTCCAGCGGCACAGTGGGGGGCAGCAGCCTGGCGTCGTCCTCATTGGCGCCCGCGAGGTAGCCCAGCAGGCGCTGCGGCAGGGGCGAGTTTGAGGGCGGCGTGTTGCGGGCCCAGGCTGAGGGCTGGATCAGGCGGAGCGTGCCGTGGGCGTGTGCGGGCCAAAGGATTGGGAGATGCCTGCTGCATTGAAGAAAAGTGACCAGGCAGCCTGCCAGGACCACACACATACTAAGCATTTCGGAATGGAGCTTTGAAAGTCCAATGCAAGAGTCCCAGCCTGATGCAGCCCCCAACAGTGAAATGCGACCGAGGCTAGATCATGACGATGCCGACACAAGCTGAGATGCGCTGAGCGGTCGCGACAGTCGTGACCCCTCAACAGAGCCCAAACACGCCCCACACCAGCCCAGCAGCCCGCAGCCAGCCGTTAGCCCCGCCCCCCCTGCCCAAGCACACCTTTGTGCCCTCGATTTGGGCGGCCAGCAGGGACTCCGCCTCGGAGTGGGTCACGACGTAGCGCGCCTTGTGGTAGCGGCGCAGCTCCACGTCGCCGCTGGTCTCGAGGACGTCGAAATCTGGGCAGTCCAGGCCCCTGGGGCCAGTAATGATGGGCATTAGCGAAGCAGGGGTTGGGCACAGCGAGGTCATCGTTGGACGCCCATGAGAGATGGAGCACTTTTGGGGTGGGGGAGGGTGAGTCTGGTTGGTGGTTGGAGGCAGGAGAGGCGGGGCGGATGCTAGGAGTGCGTGGTTGGGGGGGCGCTGCATGGATGGGGGCACAGTCAGCACCACATGGCCGTTGGTGGTGCGCCTGTCATCCTTGGAGGTCGTGACCGGGAGACCGCCTTGTTTCTGCAGTTTTCAAGCAACCCTGCTTGAAAAGATCCTCGAGCATGCCCCAATGGCCGAGTCTGCGACACCACCTACATGCAAAAGTAGGGTTTGCGGGTAAGCGCCGCGCTCGGCGCACAACGCGTGGACGTGAGTGCGGTAAGGGGCACCCCGGTGTCGTCGTCGGCCTGCCACGGCGCACGCTCTGTGGGTGCTGAGAGTGCGCAGGCCGCCAGCAGGGCCATGGCCAGCAGGGCCGCCGCGCGGTGCAGCGCCATGGTGGCGGGTGCACGAGCACACGAGATCTCGAGCGCCACAAGGGGCCGTGAATGCTTCCCTTCGGATTTGCTGTACAAAGAGTTCAAGGCACCGCACCCCGTAATTCTCGGTACATATGCGCCTCTCGGCCTGATCGTTTTGCTGACGTCAACCGTTCCGTCCGCCCCGATTTCCGATGCGGAGGGAGTACCCAAGCTACAGTAACCGCTGTCACTTGAATTTAGAGTTTACATAGTTCTCGCCTAGGACTGCCTGGGGGTCGCGCCGCACCACGCTGCAGCAACTCGCAGCGCGACTTGACGTGCTTCATTGGTTCGGCGTCAAGGTGCACCGCCAGCCGAGCGCGGACAAGTACAAGTGCATCAACTTCACCGCCGCATGGCGTTCACGCCACCGCCGCTGAGGCCTCCCATGCCGCCGACCGCTGACAGCGCGCGGTTCGCCATCAGCTCTGAGCACCTGGAGCGCGGCGGCGCACACTCGCCCCACGCGGTGCCGGCGCCAGTGCCACATCTGGGGCGCACCCGTTCCCTCGAAGAGCCGGTGCGTGTGTGCAAACGGTGTTCCTGTATGACCGCGCCGCTTCGGCACCAAAAGCTTGCGAATCGAAGAAGAGAACCCAGACTCCCTCGCTTTCCTCCAGCATACCACTTTCTCCAGCTTCCACTTTCAAGCATACCACTTTCTCCAGCTGCCCTTCCCCCAAACCTGCCGCCTGGGCACTCTTGCGCGTTCGCACCGCCCGCCGCTGAGCAGATTGCGCACGCCATGGCTGACCTGTCAGCACCTGAGATGTTCAGTGACCTCCAAGAGCGAAGGACCAAGGCTCAGGCGCCCGCGGCCCCTGCAGCCGTTGACACCCACCGTTTCGGTGGTGGCGGCTTCGGCGGCGGAGAGGATGAGGGCAAAGGTTGAAGGGCAGGGCTGCTGTGGCGTACTGAGGTGGAAGGCGGCTGGTGGATCTGTATGTGATGGTCCAGTGGTGGTATAGGGCTGCTCGAAATTGAAGTGGCGCACCTGGTTCCTGCTCGAAAGTTATGCAGGCAGAATTTGCTGTAGTATGAGCGTCTTACTTCTTGCACTCTTTTTGGTAGTGCATAGGTGCAGCACTAGAGTGAGGGCCCAAGCAAGCCAGTTACTCTCGACCACCTGCGCGCAGCCAGTGGTGTCGTTTCCCACAGGCCCGCTGCATGTGTCCATGTTCTCGGCAGGGCGAGGGCACCCTCTCCTAGGTTGAGAGGGCGTCAAATCGTAAGGGCTGAGCGGGACAAGGGTACTTGCAGGCCACAAAATGGAGGGGAGGGCACAGGCCCATCCGGGCCGCAAATGGATCAAGCAATCATTGTCAAGCAAGTTCACCCGGTTGAGCAGCCGCAGACCTGCAGCATGTCCCTGGCCGAGTCGGCCCAGGGCTCGCGCCACACATGTTGATCGCCAATTGATGAGTGTCGACCCCTTCCTTAATGCGTGCTGCAGCCCTGCGGATCCTGCCGTGCATGCAACAGCACTGGCAAGCTGCACAAAGCAGCGGCACGACTGCTTAATAAGCATTAACGCACCGTCAAAAGCAGCAAAATCGGGGCTGAACAGAGTTGCTGACTAGCTGATTGTGATGTCACTGAGTCACACGACAAGTCAAGGACTTGTGCCAACCACAAGTCGTCAAGTCGAGGCTGAGCAGACTGGGAAACACAACCAGCAGGCTCGCAGGGGTACAACGTATCTAGTGGGCTGCCGGTAAGTTGCACAGCCGACATGACATCGGCTGCTGAAGTGATGGCACCTCGCAGGCCGCGTGCCCTCGCCCCGGCGTCAGCAGCGTGCATGGCAGCATGCATGCCGCAGGCAATGCAACATGCAGACCTTGAGCCTTGATGAGGTCTGCAGGTCTAACCCTCGGTGAGGACGACCAGGCCGGGGGCGCCGCCATCAGCGCCGCCACCGCCGCGCGCCTGCAGCCGCGCCAGCACGTGGCTGTGCGGGCTGCCCGGGCCCGTCATCCCGCGAGGCAGCACAATGGACCGCAGTGCGGGCAGGGTGGCGACAGATTCTGGCAGGGGGGCGAAGCGGCTGGAGCCGCCGATGTCCAGGACCTGGATCGTTGGTCGGGCAGAATGACAAGTGTGTGTGATGGTCAGGGAACGGGCATGTGAGTCAGTGTTAAAAAACATACCAAGCTCGGTTTGCCTGGCGGCTCACAAGACACATGCGGCCCGGAAAGATTTGAGGTGCGCCGCCTGTGCACCACCAACCAAATTAGTCCAGTGACTCAACACATTCATACAAAGATCAACAGCAGCAGCAACAGGAGCAACAGCAGCCGCAGCAGCTGCAGCGGCAGTGATGGCGCCTGCACTGATATGGAGCCGTCCCCTTGCACACCTGCAGCCTCGACAGATTGCCAATGCCCGCCGGCAGCGCCGCCTCTGCCGGCACGCCCGTCACGCCCCTCAGCGACAGCGCCTCTAGCGCCCCGCAGCCCAGCAGCGGCGCCAGCGCGCCGCCAGCCGCCGCGCCCTCGCAGTCGTCCAGGCGGCAGCCGTCGGCCGCGAGCCGCGTCAGGCGCGACAGGCGCGCCACGCCGGCCGGCAGCCGCCGCAGCGTCGAGCTGCGGCTCAGGTCGAGGCTCTCCAGGTTTGAGAGCTCCCCCAGGCCAGGCAGGCGGCCGGCGGCCCACTCCACAAAGTTGATGAGCGCCGCGTGCTGTGCGGCGGCGGCGGGCTGCTGCCCCGCGAGGGAGAAGAGCGCCGGGCAGGCGCGTACCTCTAGGGAAGTGAGGGACGCGAGGCGGCTGCCGAGCGGGAGGTCCGTCAGCTGGTCGCAGCCGCGCAGTGACAGGGCCTGCGGGTCCGTTTGTCGGGGCGACAGGCGCGTGGCGGGGTCTCGAGGATGGGGAGGCAGGGGTAGAGGGGGCTGAATGTAACTGGTAAACATCATGACCAAGCACACATGTGGATAGCAGCCTGCATCGCCAGCCCCGACCACCAGCCAGACAACGTGGGTGCGTTGGCAGGGCGCGCATGCATCCATCGGAACGGCGCGTCTCGACATCGCAATGGCCGGCGCGCCTGCAGGGCAGCCGGCATGTCGCACGGCAGCTCCCGCAGGTTGAAAGCGCTGGCCACCTCCAGGCGCCCCAGGCGGCTCAGCGGCCCCAGCCCCGGCAGCGCGCTGCAGTAGACGCCGACCAGGGCCAGCGACCGCAGCCCGCGGCAGCTGAGCAGCCCCTCGAGCCCGTGGCCGCCGTTGCGGTACCCGGCAACGGTCAGGTGGCGCAGGTGCGGCAGGGCCGCGCCCAGCTCGCTGGGCAGGCGCATGACAAAGCTGCAGTCCAGCTCGAGCGACTGGAGGTGTCCTGCCCGGGCTGCGCCGGCAGGGCTGCCCCCCGCGAGAGCGCAGAGGCCCGCCGCGGCGGCGGGGTGGGAGGCCGCGGCCGAGAGGCGCCGCAGAGGGCGCGGGCACGCCAGGAGCGCCGCGGCGAAGCCGGCGGTGTCATGCTGTGTGCCGTCAGGGCCGGCGTCACAAACCGTGGCGCACGACACGTGCGGGAAGCGGCGCAGCAGGCGCGGCAGCGTAGCTAGGGGCACGCGGCGCAGCTCATGCACCGAGGTGACCAGCACGCTGCGCCAAGCGTGGCACGTCAACGAGGCGGGAGCGCGGCCAGCGGCGCCTGGTGCGAGGAGCCCCATGACATGTGCCAGGACATCTGGCGGCAGGGCGTCCCAGTGGCGCCTGCGATTGGGGCATGGCGGGTCAATAGCACAGCAGCTGAGCACGGCCCGAGGCGGTTCTAGCAAGGGTTTGTCAGAACGCTGTCTCGAGCTCAACTCTCGATATAATATAAGAGTCCTTAAGGCCTTTAATATCTACTTGCCTCTCCTCTTCGGCCCTGGCGTGCTCCACATTCGCCAGCTCTGCCATCCGTCCTCGAGCGGCTGTAATGGCACGAATGATGATCCAAAGCGGCTGACAATGCTATATGCTTATCACAAACAGGTTGATCAGGGGCTCGTGCATCGTGTGTGCGAGCTGCAGATTGGTTGCCAGCACTTCGGCATGTGGCTCCAGGCTGGTGTCACTGACCCTGGTGTTGGTGGCTGAAGGCTGACAGGCATGCGGGCAGCGAAGGAGCGGCAATAAAACATTGAGCAACATTTTTTGGTGAACCTGCAACGCCAAGTCTCTTAGGCGCACATCCATGTGACGAGAAGCTGAAAGCTCTGAGTGCCGCCTCAACCGCACGCACGAGGTGCTGCAACTGTGGGCCCAAGGGCGTCGACTGCGGGCAAGCGAAGTGCCTTTGCACCGACAGGATCGTTGGATGCTGTTGGAGGGGGAGCCGCAGCCCAGGAAGACGGGCCAACCGCATGCTGTGTCAAGAAACTGATTTTGCCGGCTGCAAGACCCGGCTGCTGGACTCGCGTGTGCTTGGTCACTGCAACCCTGAGCTGCAACATCTGCTGGAGCTGTGAAATGATATGAGAGGCCGAGGCATCCCCCGTGTGGCTGGTGGATGTGTAACAAGCAGAGGAGGGCCTGTGAGCAACAATGTCAGCAGTTCCCAAACGCCCCACCAAAACCACTTGAAGGGTGGCCAACTCTTGCTGTGACCCTAGGGTTGCAAAACTTCCAGCTCACACAGGAAAGACTTGACCCGCCCTGTCACAGACAACGGCTGGTTGTTGGACGTTTTGGGAACGCGTCAAAGTTGTCCCAACTGCTTGTGACTACCCATTCTTCCCCAGCCAGCAGGCATGTTTGATATCTCTGATCAAGCAAGCAGATACGTGTGCTCAGCTTTTGCAGGAAAGCCGCTGCGCCAATGTGCTTTGCACCAAGGTGAAGCCCCTCCTGGGCCACAATGCGGCCGCCGCCTTCGTCACTCGCGTCACCAAAACGCGTCTTCCGCCAGCAGCCTTCGAAGCGCACCGCTTGCTTCCCTCCAATATCAGACATCAACTTATTATTGAATGGTATATTGTACGTCACAGCGGGGATGACTGAGCTCTCCGTAGACAAGTTTGCCGCTGTCCGTGAAGCGCTGCGCGTTGAGAGTCCTGATTGGATTATTCAGCACGTTGATATCACCTGCGATGGCTGCGAGGTGGAGCCGATAATGGCACAGCGGTGAGTGAGGGACTGCCGCTGCTGCTGCTGCTGCTGCTTCTGCTGCTGCTGCTGCTGCTGCTGCTGCTGCTGCTGCTGCTGCTGCTGCTGCTGCTGCTGCTGCTGCTGCTGCTGCTGCTGTGACTGAGGTGTGAGGAGTGCCTGGCAGGGGCACCTGGGGCCTGGGGCATGCCCGTTGATTGTCGTGTGAAGCCGGTGGAACCTCGGCCAGCAAGGCCGAGGTGTCCGTCGCCTGAGCAGCCACGCTGCCACCCCGCCTTTGCGTCCGACTTTGGCTTGGGGCTCAGCAAAGCCTGCGCACCGCCCGCCCATCCACACGCGCTGCCACCCAGGTACAAGTGCACAGTATGCGAAGACATTGACCTGTGCGGCGGCTGCATGCGCGCCCTGGTGGCGGCGCGCATAAAGATGTCGCAAGAGGCGGGCCCGCTGAGCGCCCCTCCGCGTCAGGTGCGCGCGGCCGCCCCGCGTGCTTTTTGTCAAAATTTGCAACATACGGCGTGCCGCAGACGCCGTGCGCGCCTTTTGGGCAGCTGCAGCACGGCTCAACTACTTGCAGAAAGCATGCCGGACGCGGCCGCCGACCCCCACCTCTCACTTCCCCGGACGTCCCCCTACTAAATCCCCGCGTCGCAGGCCAAGGGCGGCCGGCCGCGGCGCTGGGTCTCGAAGCTGCACAGCCGCGACCCTGCCCAGAAGTGGGCGGCGCTCCTGACCGCCGTCACTTGCCTGCACCCCTCGCATAAGTTTGCAAAGGTGGTGGACGGCCCCGAGCGCGCGGTCGTCTTCCTGGCAGGGCAGCAAGATCAGCAGCTTCCAGGCAGCTGCGGCGGCGCCGCCTCAGGCGGGGGCAGCGGCGGCAGCGATGGTCACGGAGCGGTGCCGCAAGGGCCGACGGGCGATTGTCGGGGTGCGGTGGAGGGTGGCGACCCCGCCGCAGCTGCCAGCAGTGGTGAACCTCGTGGGGACTGCAGCCTGGAGCGCTTCCTGGCCACGTTCAGGCCGTCGGCGGCCAGCTGTCGCGACGTGGCTTGGATCGTGGTGGAGCACGCAGATGCTGACAAAGCTGAAGAGCAGCAGCAGCAGCAGCAGCAGCAGCAGCAGCAGCAGCAGCAGCAAGAACAGCGGTCGTCTCTGCCCGAGCAGGGGCAGCGGCGCCACGAGCACCAGGCACAGCGGCCGGCCGGCGCCGGCGGGGGCAGCCTGGAGGAGCGGGTGGAGGCCGCACTGGAGGAGTGGGATGAGATCACAGGCAGCGGCCGGGCGCCGACCGCGGCAGACGTGGAGGCCCTCGCGCGGCGCCACCGCATCCTGAAGGGCAAGTGGATGCTCTTCGCACACACGCCCGCCGAGGCCGACGCGGTGTGGGCCGCGGTCGCGCGCGCGGTGTGCGGCGGGCGGGCGGCGGCGGCGCAGGAAGGGGATGGGCAGCAGCGGACCGCCGGCCCCGACGAGCGGGAATCCAGCACGCAGGCCGGGCGGCTGTGCGGCTCTGCCAAGGTCAGCAGCACTGGGCCTGCGGGCGAGGACTCGAGGTGGGTGCTGTGCGTGTACACCGATGACTACACCGATGCGTCTGACGTGGCGCGCGTGCGCGAGGGCCTGCAGCGGGCCGCGCGCGGGGTGCTTCAGGTTGACCGGCGGCTGCTGTACAAGCCAGATATCTACACGCACCTGGGGATATATTCCAAGAACGAGTGGCGGCTGAGGCCGACTGTGTACGAGGCGCGCGTGTAGGGCGCTCGCTACAGGGCAGCCGATGCAGGGTCGGTGCAGCCCGCACATGAGGATGCTCCACGATGCGTGTGGGGGCATTACTTGTGATTGAATCATTGTAGCTCACACAGCTGATTGCTTAATCAATTGTCATGTGATTGCATTTTACATGGGTGGGTTGGCAACGTCCTGCGTGTGCATGAGACACTTTTCCAAACAACGTCAGCTTGTGTGGTTCAATGCAGTGCAACCGTGTAGAGGCACACTCGCCGCACAGGTGAGCGGCCACTTTGCTTGCTCCCAGTGATTTTCGGCCATGCTGAAGTGAGAGTTGAACTCACAAGAATCACATGAACTGTGAAATCTCGAGCAGTTTGAAGTCATGGTTTCAGTCAGTTAAAATTCGCCTCTGCTGCCTCATTTTCAGTTGCTGAGGTGTTCGTTGGGAGCTGGGAGCTGGCAGGGAAGCCCAAGGCACCAGTACTGCAGTGTTCTGATGGGAATCGCTGGGTTGCCCATTTGATGCTGAGTGGGTGGCCCTCCGCTGCCGGCAGTCGTCCCGCCAATCCACTTGATTTCAGTCGACGAGATGTCAGGTGGCCAGAGTTGACGGCGCGTGCGCCAGGTGGCGCTTGCCTCTTGGCATGCACTTTAGCATGAGATTACAGGCGTCGGAGTCTCAGGCAGCGCCTGATGGGCAGCCGCTATGTTACGACCCATGTGGGCTCTGTGCTCTGACACTGTGACCAGGAGGACGGCACCCGAACCACGTGCGCCGTGGGGATTGCTTAATGGCACCGCGAGAGCCATGCCAAAGCTGCTGACAGCAGTATGCAATGTTATATCAAAGTGCTGTGAGGAGGCCATCATCCCGTGCATCATTGCCCGCCGCGGCCCTGCTCACCTCGCGGTCGCCCAGCCGTCACCGGTTCAGCTCAACCCATCGCGGGTGGGCAGGGAGGCGGGGAGTGAGCTGCCTGCAACAGGTGCCGCATGTAGACTATCTCGCACCGCACGACGTTATAATTGATGCACCCACACATGCGAATCGCTGACATATGATAGAGTGCACACGTCCGCCCTAGATCTTTTGCACGTCTGCAGGCGTGGTCACCAACACATAATCAGAAAGCGCCTGACTCAATGACACGCCAGGATGCAGCTTCGCGCGCTCGCGTGGGGCAGGTGAAATCCACCACAGTGACAATAGAGCGGCCTCCAACAGCTGTTCGCGGCCCCAACGGCGTCATATTCAACCTGTGAGCCCATTGATTGCGCTGTAGGTTTGCTGGGGGCCCCACCGCACAGATGCTGTTGCGCTTCGCCGCCGCCCAGCCGTCGCTGCTCAGATGTATTCAGCGCGCGCTCCGGTCCATGCCGCCCCCACCCCGCTCACCCCGCATCTTCCCCACCACTCCATATCCGCAGCCCGCGTGCACCCGCGGTGCTGCCCGTCTTCCAGAAGGTCAACGGCCACCTGACGGACCCTGCAACCGGACACCGCCTGCGCGGACGCGGCGCCGGCGCCGGCCGCGGCCGCAAGGGCCCTGTCAGCCGCGTATCCTTCGGCACCTTTTTGCTCGTGGCCGTGATCGGCTGGCGGGCCTTCCGGATCCTGGGGCACGCCTGGTTTGGCGGGAAGAAGCAGCAGCGGGGGCAGGGAGAGGGAGAGGAGGGCGCGCTGGTCGAGTGGGCGTCGGACGCTGACGAGGACGAGGAGGAGCAGCAGCTGCCGCCCCTGGTGCGTGACTCCTGCATGAGGGCGGGGCTGAAATGCCGGGGAAAGGAGGAGGGGCGCGGGGGGCAGCACATCTGCCTGTCCACGGCCCCCCCATGGGCGGGCTGCCGCAGGCTCCGACCTGGCGCGTCAGCCCAGAGCTCTGCCCACAAAGGCGTCGCCGCGCGCTCATCCTGAATGCCGCGTTAATGGCGCGTTAAGGTCTTGTGATCACAAAGGTGCTGCTGTTCTTCCTGCAAGGGACCACCGCTGCCCGCACTGGCACGCCTAAGGC